CTAGCTCACCCAGTCCGCAGACCAAGCACAGGCCACAGGGGATCCATTCCATTTCCGAAACACTGTGCATTTCTTGGGACCCAATCCTTCTTGTATATGGCAAATCGTGCTTTATCTTGGTAATATATATTTATGGTGTTGGTGCCTATACATTTAAATATACCGGTACCTGCATCTTAATTTGACTCAAGAAATGCATGTCAATCTTGCTTTTGCTCTGAAACCTCACTGGTCATGCTGGTGTAAACATTCCATGCATCTACAGATGCAATGTACATGTATATGTTCCAAATGTGTGGCTCTACTTGCAAACTTGCAATCAGTAACAGTATTCAAACATGCATTTGCATCCTGGGAGAAAAGCACTTACATACGTACATACACATGTAATTCTGTGATAAAAACGACACAAACTTGACCTCCTGTTTTGGTATGCAGCAGTCACCATGATTTTGACAAAAAAAAAAGAAAAAAACTGCAATGTGGTCACAACACGTCATTACTCACTGATTTGTCTCCTCCCGTTTACCCAACTAGGAAAACAGACAGGGGTCCCAAACTAGAGCAGCGAAGCCAGAGCACTGAAACGTGAGAGCAGTCACGTATCTGAGGGGGAGGCGGGAGTGGTTAAAAATGTTTGCCAAGGCTTGTGCGTGGAACCACAGTTTATGATGACTATTTGCATTAGGATGGAACCTCAAACAGCTTGCAGCCATACCGCTTTGCTGCATTTGCAAACACTGGCTCCGAGATCGAATCTGAGATTTCAGGAATACTAGTCCTATACGTACATGTACCAAGGCTGGAGCTTGACAATGGCATTCCGCTGGCCTAGCACTGGGAAAGACACCCATGGAAATTAGTATAAATCTTCCCTAAAAGTACATGTGCAGTCCAAGTAAATTTACCAATACGGGCTCATTTTGGGACAGGTAGAGCAAGAATGGGAGTTAATTGCGGGGAAAAATGTGTCATTACACACATGTAGGTGTACATTCAAGATCACTGGAAATGTATCTTCTCCAATCTAGGGAATTCAGAAATAAAATACCAATATGTTTCTGGCTTAACTGCATTCTGCAAAGCACAAAATACGTCTAAGCAACCAACATTAACATGCTTCAAAGACAAACAAAATTCTGAAAACCTCCAGAACAAACCACAATCCCTCTGAGGGAGATTGTCTTCTTAACAATTTATCAACCTCTGGACAGACAGGCCAACAAAGTGCACTTGATGTTTTCTGAGCCCTATAAATTAAGGAAGTACCGCAACATCAATGAGGCAAAGCATCACAGGCTGTTTGAAATCTTTGCCAGGCGAAGCGTAGCTTCAGGTCGACTTCTAAGCACTCTGTTAATTTGGGGGGGGGATACATGTAGTTTCAATAGATTCAAATCAAAATACCCAACACACTGTACATTTGCCGGACTTTGCACCCAATGACACTTTTGCCACAGCTGATCAACAGTTCGCCGCCATGAACTCCAGGCTTAGATACAGCAAAGTGCTGAGGGGTTGAGGAGTTTTATTTGAAAGTCTTCCAAGCATATGATTGTCCACAAATGCGCATTATTGGATTTTTATCTTTTCATGCGTGTATGTTATATGTACAGACAAAATTTGGTGCATACCAAATAGTATTCATTTTAATATGTACATGTATGTGTCCGCACGGTACACATTTACACATGTACATGTATGTCCTCTGGAATATTACTCAATGAAAGAGAAGCACAAATCTTTGTACATGTAGCGAGGGACAGTTCAGGTACATCCCCGAGTACATGTACATGTACATTTTTGTACCTGTGCATTTTGTCAAAGGAAAAATCACCAAATGCATTTTTTAAAAATCTGACTTACAATCCCTTCCGAAAACTTCTGAAAACTGTCCCCAAAACCACACATTTTGTGGTATTTTTTGACATTACCATAGGATTATACCGCAGTACATTTTTGTAAGGGAAATGGGAAATACTGTATGGAAACCTTTCTACTGAATGGGGGAGGGGATGCATCACATGTACGGTACTACTGCTCTGCTCACCCAAGTATCTTGTATAAAATGAACCATTACTACAAGTTCGTGTGCTTGTATGGTGTGCCACAATGATAACAGGGACTTGGCATCCAAGCCTAGATTGTCAAATGTAAAAATCACTTTCCCTGACGATTCTGCCTGTTGTGTTTTTTGGTTCCAATCTTATTGCTCTTCCTGTCAATTTTTTTCTGATTTTTCTTTCACCTCTGAGGATGGGAATCGGCTTTATTCTTTCCTAAACCAGACAAATTTTGCTGAGTTCAGGATGAGGCAGAGCCAAGCCATGCACTGTCGCTCATCTTTACATACATGTATGGTTTGTTGCTCTGTGAATTAGCTTTTGAACAAAGCAAACACACATGTGGCTTTCAGCACGGTGGAGGGATTTTAGAGGGTTTAGGGAGGTTCAATGCATGAATATCCGCGAAGGCAAATAAATGTTAATTTTTTCATGAAGGGAGTAAAACAGAAGAGAGATTCAAACACAAAAAATGAGAATGACCACTTTGGATTCTCTGCAGTGCTGCACACTGTGTGTCTTTTCCATTACCCGCTTAATGACACTGACAGGACATTGCAGACATTAGCTGCTTGATGCCGAGATGTTATCCATCCCAAACCTCCCAAATGAAGATGAGGAAGATAAATTGGTATGGAGGCGAGATGCCATCATGAGAGGGAATACAGACGGACAAGTCTGGAGAGCCCAGTGGTGCCTTTGAAGGAGGATATATATTCGAGATGGCGATGCTGGGGACTTGAATGTCGGGCTGATACAATCGGGCAGCTGATTGTTCCTGAGGCTGGGAATAATTGAATTACGCTGTGTATTATCTGACAATAAAAAAACCTGCCTGAATGCAGTTTGAGGCAATTACATAAAATCCATATGGTGTACATATACATGTATGTACATATACTGTAATTTTGACAGAAGATCCACAGGGGAAAAAATGGAAATTTCACAAATCAAAATCTGATCCAACAAACAGCTTTCTGCTGCAGGTTGGTTACTTTCTGTTATCAGTAGGCAAGATTTCTCAGTAGTGCTTCCTCAGGTACATGTATGCTCCCTCCTGGCAATGACATTCTGACAACAAAGAGAAATGGAACAAGAGTCACAGAAGAATCAAAACCTATACAGAAAGACTCGAACTTTCAGTGAACAATCAGAAAAGAGATGATAAAATTCTCCTCAAGCAAACCAAAGCTAGTGAGTGAGTTGTGTGCAGTGTGTCTGTTGAGCCAGCGGAAAATGGAAATCTGTGATATGAGTTGAGAATCCTTGATGAGAAACTACATGTATGGTAATGCCATCATTGTTACAGACGTTCCTCCGGATGCCAGCCTCTTCCAGCACATCTCAAGCAGCAGGGGATGAAGCTCATGATAATTACCATAGGTCTTATCATAACAGCAGGAAATATGCACTTTCCCCCCTTGGTGCCTTCCGAGGGGAAAACAACATGCCACAATTTCCTAAAGTGGGTCATGGGATGCCTCAAGCCCCATGGAAATCTTGCATTGGGCAAGAACTGCATTTGGAGATAAAAGAGAGCTTTGTGCGATGCACTTCACTGCCCATACGCTTACACATTCCCAACTTATATAGCTGCAGGCCTGCGGTCTACCTTAAATTTCAATGTTATCCCGATATCCTGTTCTGATTACAAAAGTAAACAAAAAATGTTCTCATTGAAACAGTTTTTGCACAAGTGGATGTGAGTAGTATAGTGATCCTATACACAGCAGCTAATTCTTCCAGCGTATTCTGCTACATCTGTCTGTAAATTGTGCCATTTTGTTTTTTACTACAACCCCTTCCTCAGATAGCCGCGATCAAAACCATTTTCTGACTTTTTTGAGGGCAGGCAACAATGTTTCAAGACTGAGTTTAAGAGCAGAGAGGCTCTCAAGTCTGCATATATCTGAAATCATAGGAGGAAATACACCACTAGCTTCGGCTCAGAAGTCTAGATTCCTTGAGGAGAAGTGCTGTTCACGTTCCTCGTCCACAGCTTTTAAGCCTCAACATTTCCACCAAAAACTCTGACAAATCTGCCTCAAAAACCCATGCCTGTGCAAATAAAAACCCATTTTCCTAGATAACCAAATATTAAGTATACTTTTCTCTCTTTTCTGTGTTTTTTTTTCTTTCAAGGTTTACTGGTTATATACTGGGTGACTATTCTTGCTCCAAACCAGTTACAGCTCCTGGCTATAATTTCAATTAGGTGTAGATGCATTTCATGCACGGCAAACTGCATACGTGTCTTTTTTTCACGTTGATTCTCCAGAGAAATCCTGTTTACCACAAATGCAGGTTGGCAACGCTTTTGTGGCCCATTGTCTCTCCTGTCACTTCTGATAACATTCAGCTCCGTTTAGCAAGTAATAAATGCTATTCAGTCTTCTTCTACAGATGTCAGGGCACTGTTATTGTCCGCTTGTCAAAGGAAGGCTGCAATGATCTGTGATTTGTGAGACCGAGAGTTGGTTTCTTGCCACACAAATTAATTGCTGGGAAACTGTGGACTTTTCACCATTGTATTTTTGAGAGAAACCAAAAAAATAGATGTTTTATCTGGCTTGCAATTTTCCAAAGCAAGTTTAATACCGTTGAATTGAATATTCCCCTGAGAGCATGGAAAAAGTGGCAATGAAAATATATTTGTAGTCAATCTGGGGAACATCTGGGAGTCCATGATATGTATGAGCCTATGCAGGTAATGGTTTACAAGTACAAGACCCCAAGACCTTTGAATTTTTTAAAATTAAAAACAAACATGCACATAAACATTGGATGTGGGTATAGGTAGTGAATAACACAGACTAACAGCAGGTGGCAATCATGTGGTGGTGCCACCTTATACAAACTCGTGTACATGTACACCAAACATGTACATGTAGGCTTGGTCAAGGCACAAGATCAAGATGGCCACAGATTTCCACCCACCATTGTGTCTTCTCTTTCACCCCCGTGCGATAAACCTCCTCCTGGTCCAAACGCACCGTGCAGCAACAATCTTTGGCAGACGTCAGGTTCTTGGCTTCACCTGAAATTAGATAAGAAACTGTTAGACCGTTTCGTAGTTCATAATTATTTTATTAATCCCAAAGGAATTTACATCTCTGAATTCACTTCACAGTGAAAACAAAGTGTTTTGCTTTGAAATAGATGCCTTGTAGACTTCTTTTTCACTAGTTCTTAGCAGGCACTGCCATGGTCTGTTGAGTGTGTTAGAACTTGTACAGTTGTGATGTGATCTGCAAAAACTCATCACATTGCCTCACCAAATTTGAAGATAATAGGCAAACATTCCTTGAGATTTTTTGGATAAGTTGACATTTTGTTGCCATTTTTTATCACTATTCACTATTGAAATATTTTACTCAAATTCTGTTGTTTTTAACATGTATGTTAACATTTGCAACTCTCAATAAAATGTTGGAACTTTAAAGATTGATCATGACAGCCTAATGCCAGTTATAGACATCATCCTTGAATCAGGAATAAAACAGTTCTAACAACAGCATACCAGAGAATTCACTTATGATATAAACATGTACATGAACATGTGTACATGTACCTAACACAAAAATGACAAATTTCACCAATGTGAGGGGTCTTCCCACATATCACCACATTTGTAGAAATAAAATTCCTTTGATTATGATGTACATGTAAACTTAAGCAGTTGGTGATTCCACAGAGTTGAGGAATATTTGGTGGCATTTGGGCATAAATGAGGCACCATTACATGTACATGAAGGTCTATGAGGCACTACTCAGGAAATGAATTTTGTTGCTTGTAAATTGTAATGTGAACATTTTAGTGAATGTATTTGAAATGGTCTGGTCATGACATTTTAAAAAATAAAAACTGGTTGTGGATGAAATGGGGAACCACATTTTTTTATCCAGCTTAATTAAAGCTCAATTATTTTGGGCATCAAATCACTCCGTCTAAAAAAAAACAGCTTGGAACACAGCTCATCATTCTTAACATGAATTTTAGCATGATTTGGAGATTTTAGCATGATGTTTTGCAGCCACTCCATGAATTTGGTCAATGTACGCCAAATGTTTCAAAATGCATATTTTTCTTCAAACGTTAAATAAACAAAAAAAAAACTCTTAGAATCTACTGTACATGTCTTTTCAAAGAGCCAATTGAAAGCTACATGCATGTACATGAACATGTACATGTAGATCTACATGTAAGTATTCATTCCAGACTATCGAACAGCTGTTCTCTAATTTGTTTGAGTTAGTTACAATTTTAAAAGGAAAAGTACATTTACATTATTTATAGCTGGGAGGTTAAAAAGGACCAAATTAGGAGCTACAAGTATGCTCATCCTAAATGCCATTTAACACTTTGTTCCTCTTTATTCATGGTTCAGTGCACTACACAAACATGTGTGAACAGGACAATGCATAAATGAAAATTACAGATGTTCATTTACATGGTACACAGTACAAGAGGCATTTGATCTCTCTCCTATACGTGCATGTACATGTAATTTACACTTCCCCATAACTGAAGTGTTAAAGGGTAGCTGCAATTAATGTTTTTGATTACAAACCTGTAAATTGCACCTTTGTGAATCAGTAAACCTTATTTTCAACTTTGGTTTGATTGTATCAAAGGGTATTTTAATGCCTTTTTGGTTTTTATGCTATAGTGGATTTCCATGTTCATGAGCAAAACTGTGGTGTCATCTCGGGGAGAAGCCTCAATGGTTTGTACACAAAAAAGTCCAGCGTTTTGGTAGATTTTCCGGGACTAAGATTTCTCTTCTTTGCTCATTCATTGTTGTTTGTGTGCATAGCAGAAAAGAACCACCTACATGTATCCCCCTCTCAGAGGCGTTTTCAGTTTTCAGTAAATTCTGGGTTTACAATTTGAACAGAAATACCTACATGTACATGTGTGCACTGAACCTTGCCTTCCCTAGATGACTTCACAGCAACAGTGCCCTCAGTTGTTAAGGAAAACATGAATAATTTTGATTGTATAAAAGTGTGCACTTTTCAATGCATTTAATCAAATAGGGGTGCGTGTGAGATGCAGAAAGTACAAAGATGCAAAGTGTCAAAAGTGTACGTAGTGTAAACTTGACAGGGGTTGGCTTACATGTATATCTGAAATGCAGAAAGTCACTGTTTGCTGATGTTACTTTCATTATACAGTTACAATTTGCTGTCATGAATGAGTACATATTAAATTCACAATGTATGCCTGTAGCTGGGTGAAATCCTGTCCTTTCTCTGCAAAATAGAGATACATGGAAGATAACCTGGAATTTCAAATAAATGTGTAAACTTGCTTTCTATGTAAGTCAGTCAAACTTTGGTAGAGAAGTACTTTTATATGTACTTGAAAGTAAGCATATCGGCGGCAGAACAATTATTTTCAAAGTGGGAGGGGGGCAGTTGTTAGACCATTACCCATCAGTCATTAATAGGTCGATCCACCTATTGATAGGACCTGCAAAAAGTGGGGGGGGGCAAGGTCCCCAGTTCAAAAAGTGGGGGGCCATTGGCCCCCCTGCCCCCCCTTCCGCCACCAGTGCATGTACCATACAGTGCATGTATGTACCTTACCTATACCAAAACATTTGGCCTTTGCATCTTTGTTCTCACAAAATTCTGAATGTGCAAACTCTTTTTTTAATGGTAAGTTTCCTGTCCAATTTCTGATTTGTCCAATTTGCTGCTACTCCCGAGCCAAAAGTGACGCAGACCACCTGACTTACGTCAATTAAACCAGAATCTTTAAAAAGTTTTTTTAAAAAGCACACCCGGTATTGCTGTTGCCTACGGAAACGGCTGAGTTATAGAACATTCAACAACAATGGGTATTTGGAATGGATTATGAAACATGGACATATGTGTCTTGCAATGACACGTGCACATATTACCCATGTGCCCCTCCTGCTATGAAATTCTTCACTACTTTTTTTCTATGAAATATATTGTATCTACACGTATATACAAATGTCACCCCAACATTTAATGTCCTTGGAAATGCACAAACATAAAAGTACAACCAGTACCCCACTCAATATCAAATGAGACCTTGCAGACGTAAAGCACATGTACATGTACTTGCAACAATTTAAATACCCCTAAAGTTTGCCTCTCTTGAATGGAGAGCTTTTTCATTTACATTCCCTGTAAAAATTGAGCAAAAAAAAAAAAAGAAAAGAAAATGCAACCCCACAATAATTGGTCATCATGCCCGATACCATATTTTTATTCTCCCCAGAGGTGAGATTCAAGCTGACATTTCAGTTGCCAGGCAAGTAACAACAGGCATTGATTGTTTGAGGAGACCATTGTGAGAGGCACTCTCTGCCCCAGCCAAAACAAACCTTGCCCACTTGATATTATGGCCTACCCCATGGAACCAATCCACAGTAATAAAACAAACTGATAACAGAAATGGAAAAATTAAGCTTACATGGAGTAAAGTGAGAGGTTTAAAATGAGCACTTGTCTGGCTAATGAGACGTGTCGGGGGAAAAAACCCTGAAAGTGTAGGAAAACTATGGAGTTATTATGTCCATGCACCTGTATATGTAAGCTACATAAAAAATTATACAAATTACAGGTAGATGTGGCACTGGTACTGGCACATGTAGCAGTAAATATCCTTTGTGCTTTCACAAGTGGAATAAAAAAACATTGATCTTGGCTCTGTGGTATCAGATGAACCTCACCGTACTGCACACTGTAAGGTGGACCTGTGATACACATGTACAATGTAACAAACATGTACATATACACGGTGACAAATTGTGCATGTGAAATGCATGACGCGCATGTAGGAATTGCAGGTTGTGACGTTGGGAAAGTTTGGTTCGCCCTGTAGGCTATACCAGTGCCAGTATGCACAAAATCAGATTAGCAGCAGAGTTTAAAGGTGCAGTCCACCATTAGTCACTGGTGCAATTGTGTATTCCTTTGAGATGACCAGTGCTCAAAATCTTAAGAAGGGAGGCCAACAACTAGACTGTATATCTGATGAAGTTTCAGCTCGGTAAATATTGTATATATTCCAAGAAATTTTAAATCAGAAGACCTGCACGTACACGTACATGTAGGCCTGCACTATAAAAACAGTACCCACCACCACAAACCACCACAGTACCCACCACTACAAACATGTGAAAGAGGGTGGACGTGTACTGCACACCATGTACATGTATTGTACATTGTATGTACATTAAGTTGCTTCCATTCTACATCCTTGTACATGTACACCTGTTGCACTTTCAATTCATAGTTCTTTGAAAGGAAAAAAAGGAACAAAAGATGTCTTCAGGCCAGGAACATCAAAGGGTACCTAACACACAAGCATTGAGAACATCTATTGTGCTAGGTACATGTGCATACACTGTAAAGAAAGCCATTTAATGACTGATGCGTACACAAAAGATCAAGTAGTACACTGTATATTGTACATAAAGGCTGTTACACAGAACTGCCATTAAAAACGGCAGAATTAAAACAATGACACGCTTTTAAAACAGCTGAGAAGGAAACCCACATTAAATTAATTGCACAATATTTTACACTGTGTTCTAGCTGTCATGCTATATGCTGTGCTCTCAGAAAAATTGTGGGCCACAAACTTCATGTAAATGAATGAATTTTGCCCCTCTTCAGTGCAATTCAACTGAGCCACAAGGGCCACTGATCTGGGACACTGGACATGTCCATGTACACTAGTCTAGCTGATAACCAGCAAGCCACTTGAATGTGTGTCGTTTACATTGTACATGTATGTCCAAAGGTATAGCCTTTGTAGGGATGAGCACATATTCCATCATACACACTGTCACTTGCTTCTTATTAAATAGGCCTATTCTTCAATTAAAAAGAAACCAGGGCAACCGTGGCTTACTGTACAAGAATATATTTCACAGACTCATTTCACATCAACCATCAGCAAAGAGTCACTGTTCATTGTGCTATATGTAGCTGGCCAAATTCAATCATTAAATTCTGCTTGTGAAGCAGGTTTTTCCAGTCAGTGGGCAATCA